AAGACCGTTTTATCAACCTCTCTCTCTCAAAGCCGTACTCAGACAATGCACCATCCCGACATGAAACTCTGCGTACCCAAATACTAACCCCGGAGGACGGCAGTGTCAACGGGTACATCAAATTTCGCATTCGAAATGCGGAGTTGGATGAGAGCAGTAACAAATCAGCGAAGAGAAGATTTGGAGCAAGTTCTCTGGGTGTGTATCATCGAAGCACCACGGAAGCTAACTCCATGTTCGACAATATTCCCTATTTGCCTCCGAACTTTGCCAGTGGCGTGAAATTGGACGCAGTTGACGGGAAGCTCCTTAAATTCTGTAAGAGAAACCGGGGTTAAGGTATTCGTGTATTCCCTCTGCTGACTTTGACAGATTTAGTCGCCTACTGCCAAGGTCGGACGCTTCTGTCGCAAACGAATTTCTGGCTCACGGAGATTGCATCCATGATCGCAACCGAAGATGCCGTCAAACACGCTATTCTCGCTCTCGTTGGAGGATACGTGCTTGACTATGTGCACAAGGATGACCTGCGCAAAAGAACGAATGCGCATTATCGCAAGGCCACAGAATTGATCACTGCAGGCCTGGAGAGGCCCGAAGCACATGCTGTTTCAAAATCAGAGGGCATTGTCGCAGCCATATTGCTGCTTCTTGTTGACGATGTGAGAACCAATTCCTCTATATCAATTTTTGTATAATTCTTCCTTGCGAATCATGAAAATCCGCTAAGTCAGGTCCTTGTAGTGCGTTAACTGGGAGCTCCGAAAGCCCAAAGGGGAAACTCCAAACTGGTATAAAGGGGCACATCTGGCCAAAGCCATCCTTGACCATTCTGATCCCGGTTACCGCTACTGGAAAGTTACTAACGTTCAGTGTGACAAAGCCTGGCTGGCCAATGCCAATTGGGCCTCCCTGGCATGTGTTCTTGCGGAACCCGTTACGCCCCTCCAGTTACGTGAGAACGACCGCCGCTTTGGATGGCTGCTGGAGGGCACCGAAAGGGAAGTTCGTACCATTCATGGAGGCACTGGCCTCTCACCAAAACTGCTGCACATAATTGCCCAGATAACACATATATCAGCAAGAATGATAGCAGTGTGTATTTCCCTTCGCGCAACCCCCCTCCCCTTTCCACCTTAGAGCTGTACAGGAAGTTAACTAACCTGTGAGCAAAGAATCCTCATTCAATTGTTACACCAATTGGCGCGTTGAAAATTGAGGAAATGTTGCATGACTTCCACCAGAGGTCAGAACTTTCAGAAGGATATGCAACGACTGATGCCCTCCTTGAATCCTGCATCCTCGACGTTGACGGAAAGGTGAATACGGCAACCAAAGTCACTGAATTGACCGGGGAAACTTGGGTTTGTGCAGCAAAAATATATTTGCACTGTCGCTTCTTCCGGTGGGCAGATTGACAACGATCTCCTCTCTATTCTCCCCATCATTCCTAGCTCATCATTTTTTCTATATCCTTAATCATTGTGTCGAACGGGAAGGCTGACAGAACGCAGGAAACCGCGCTGCCACCCAGATGTCTGCGCGGCGTTAAAGACACTGATGACATGTGTGCAGCGGATGCCCTACAACGGAGCACTCTTCACTTCTCAGGCTCCATTCTTCTGCGTCTTTATCATGTCGCTAGTTTCATATCAACAGCATGACCGAGATGTAGCCAGGGATTGGTTTGAGACGGTTCTCTTAGCTGCCAGCTGTCGATCGGTGAGTTCCCACCACTCTATATTTTCGATCCCTCATGCTATGTAAATGTGTGATTGGTCCACACCTAGACATTGCATGTTAGATCGCGAACATATCAAAGGAGTAATTTCTGACTACGGTTTCCAGAGCGTGCCACCAGTCTGGGAAGCTGTCCAGGTATTGTGGGAGTGGATGGATGCCGAACTTGTGGATGAGGATAATTTCGATAATGCTGTTCCTATTGGAGAGCGGAGGGCATGGTGGGAGGATATGGTGGCGTATCTTCTCGACAAGGTGGGATGGGTGAGTTTAACGTAGCAATAACTCCGTATTAGTTATTGTAGGACCGCCAATTTTGTAATGCGATATATTGAGAGAAGAAACGCAATTCTGGATAGTAGGTTCAAAATTTAAGGCAAAATATTCTCGGGACACTAGGCTTCCAGCAGCCGTCCATAGGAATGAATAGTTGATTCTTGCATTATGAGCCTCAATTCTCATCGCAAGGGAAGCTGCCTTCTTTTTTCTTTTTCCTTTTTTGTTCTCTTTCAATAAATCGGGTACCCAAAATCTCAGGCAACCATTCCGTCTCGCCCAACACAGACCTATACACAGCATCGGAAGTAGTCTACATGACAGCATCTTCTTCCGTTGAATGTCGAGTGAGATGGCGACCTCAATTGGCTCGCAGAGAAGTCGAATGTGTAAATACCTACAGGGTGACGCCTGTTCGCGAGCCCCTTTGAACATAATGCTGGACCATATTCCCGACTCGGACACGGCAAGAAAGGAGAAAACAGACGTGCATGAACGAGGCGAATATAGCCCCCAAACATTTCTCCTCTCTCTAGGATGGAAGAGAAGACAACACTAGATAAAGTGCAAAAGGACTGTAATTGGCTAGCGTTTTCTGGATGAGGCTTACTCCGTAGTACGGTGGCAGATCCAATATCTCATGGTTATGATGTAGCTGTCACTCGCCCTGAGCCTGTCGACCTAGAATTTGGAAGATTTGGGCAAACACTTCCGCTATGGGAAGAGCAGAATGTTGTGTTAGCTGGCGAGGGTTGGATTTATGAATAGAGCCTCAAGGGGCTCATCTCCCTTGGCATGTGGGAGCATATAAAGCCTTAAATCGCGCCGCGACTGCAGGTGTGGGCTTTTGGTTCACTTGGACAAACAATATCCGTGAGAATAGATATTGGGACAGGCGTTTTATCTTTGCATTATACGATCAAGATACAAATCTCCACTCAGTTCTTAAATTTTTTGAAAATGCCATCTTCCTTGAGAGTCGGGGAGGTTCTCGACATTGGCGGTAGTGGGTTGGGGGACAGTCTGAAGGTAAAGCTCAAGGAAGACTTTATTTCCAGTGATGGGAAATCGTCGCGTTCCTTCCCCACGGAGCTTTTTTACTATGGATTGGGACTCCAGCTCTGGAATCAGGTATGCTGGCTCGCCGATTACCACCAAACTCGAGACGAGATCAGTCTCTTAGAGTGCCACGGTGCTGCTATCTGCGAGGAGATACCTCTAGGGTGCACCATTGTAGATATGGGCTCTGGGTAGGTATTTCGCCAGCATGAAATCGCCCCACAAAATCCTGTTGCCAGATGATAGAATATAAACTAACCTGGGCGGCAGAGACATCCGGAAGCCTGCTTGCCTTTTGCAGCAGTTGGAGTCGTTAAGGATCCCCGTTTCGTACTTTGCGCTTGACATCAGTCGAGATGCTTTGGAGGAGAGCATGACGTATCTGGCCAACAGATACCAGCACGTTAAATGCTACGGGCTTTGGGGTACCTTTGAGGATGGACGCCAATGGCTTCGATCGGTGGATACGCCAAAGTGCGTCCCTTTCATAGGGCTCTATGTTTGGAAACGACACCTTCGACCTAGCAGTGGAACGTATGCAACCGTGGCGAGAGGTTCTGGGGCCATCGGACTTTGATGTTAATTTGGGATGGATGCGCTAAGGAGGCCGCGAGGAACTGGAAAGAATGTATCACGAATAAGATGGTGTCTGGGAAAGCTGCATCCGCAATGGTTTTCATATTCCACGATCTCCTGGAAAAGGCTTGCTCAAACAGAAGAAAGGGGGTTGATGGGTGTTTCAGTGCGAGACTCCCCTCACAAATTTTCCCTCCTTGCAACCAAGGATGTAGATTGCCCAGATCTCGGGCTACATGTCGGCGAAGGCGAAGTAATTGAGTTTTTCGGATCCTGGAAATATGGACCTGACATCATGAAGATGCAGTTTGAGCAGTCTGGGATGATGCTGAAGGGTTGGTGGGCATCTCCTCTAGGTGAATTTTGTGAGTATATTAATATCTTCCCCACCTGACGAATTTTGTGTTCAAAGCTGATGGTAACTTTCCTAGACCAGTACCTTATCTCCTGTGCTTGATATCCATAGCACTTCTTTGTAAGCTCGCCAGAATGTCAATGGAGAAGAATTAATGAAAAAGAAGATCGTGATTGATAGCTCTTCATTTAGCAACATATTTAACCCATTTTCTTTCGTTGGCTTTTTCCCCGTACGTTTGTATCTTTTAGCTATTTGAATTGAACTGCTTCATGAAGCTGTTGATGATCGCAGTGGAAGATGAAATAGTGCCAAACTTTATCCAATCAAGCCACTAACTGACTAGTCAGTTAACTACCGATTGGACGCTGCACATAGGAGGGAAGCGAGAAGATGTTTTTAATCCGCAGTTCAAAACGAACCTCACGTTCACATCCCATGATATCAGTTATGCGCGTATACTGATGGAGTTGGAAGGCGGCGACTGTGGAAAAGGTGAAATAAAACATTGGTTCAAGACACATTTAGGGAACCAGGTTCGAAGAAGGCATTGATTGGAGGACTCCCTCTCTTGAAATGAGACGGCGTGAAAAATGTGCGAAATAACGAATAGGACCAACAGTCGCTAAAATTCTCATAAGTGGTTCGAAGACTTAGTTATAACAACATATGTACTAGCTGGTTGCAAATCGTGATTTGGTAACTAGTAATTCCCCCCGTCTTTGATCTTACGAATAGCCCGGCACATCCTTCAAATCTCTCGTAGGTATATAGCTGGCGCAGTTCCCACCCTCATCACTCCGATCCCACGCCCATCGCCGTACAAACTCCTCTCCCAGCTCGTTGTCGATCATCTGGACAACATACTTCCCAACATTGGGCAAGAACTTCCACGCATGGAAGGATCCGCCGCCTACAATATACAGGTTCTGAACATGGGGATGTGGTGAAATTATCCAGTCCTGATTTGGCGTGATGGAATCCCTGAGTTACATTTTGTTAGATTCAAATGGACGATAATGCGTTTGGCAATTTTGATTCGAGCCTCACCAGCACATCCGATACTGCTTCGGCTCCATATTATTTATCCAGTTACCGAAGAGTTTATCTCGCGCTGCCATGGCCTCGTCCTTCAGCCCCTGGGGTACGTCTTGGGAAAATGTCTGTTGAGTGACACGTGGGGGAGGCACAGAAATGTCCTGCTTGGAGGCTTCGTGGAACACTTTGTGGGTAAAGCTCCGTTCGTGTGTGCATTTTATGAGGCCTGGTTCGCTCTGTGGAATGCATTCGGCTGGTACGTTGGGATATTAGCTAGTCATTTTCCAATAGGGGAATCCAGGAGCGAGCTACCTGGATATTCACCCATTGGGTGCACAACAATGGGACAATCGCTAAATTTCTCTACTTGATCCTCGGGGAGGCTGAAAGCACACATAATGGAAGCAGCCGCAACCATTCGATTACGGGCTTGTATCTCTGGACGGTCTGGGTCGCTCTCAGCCAAAATCCAGGGAGTATATGCCCCAGTGCAGAGAATGACCTTATCAGCAGACAGTTGGATGTCTTCCAGGGTCGTAATTCCGGAACAGTTGCCGTTCGAGTCAAATGCAACTTTTGTAACCGTCGCCTGGATATACTTGATCCCAATATCAACGGCAGACTGGATGACAGCACGCAGGGCATTGGCGGCGTCACCCCATCCTGCAAGGGGATTCCAAGTACACTTGGTGACTCCAGTCCAATCTCCGTCCTGAAAGATTCCACCAAAGCGAGCTTTGGCATCTTCCGGATCCAGGAGAACAGCGGGAGAGTTACCTTCGCCAAGCACCTTCTCGTAGTTCCTCACAACAGCCTGGCCAGGCGCCTCAATGCCGATAAATAGGATACCCGTCTTGTGAAAGTAACGTTTTAACACAGGATCGGTACGCCACTGCTCCTGTGCTTCTAGAGCGAGACGCATATACATAGGATCTTCATATTCGGCTCTGATGATCTTGTTCAGGTCGTGAGCTGCGGCAGATGGGCATGGGTAAGGGGTACGGTCGACCAACGTGACATGTGCGTTGGGTTTCGCTTTCTTGAGCGCAAGGGCCGTGGAAGCACCAAAACATCCGGCGCCTACAATTAAATAACTGGACGTGTCCATGGTAGCCATCAAGTGTAAAGTGGGCGGCGGACAGCAAGTTGAGTAGGCGATGAAGTAAGGTAGTGTCGGTCGTTGTATCGCTATGAGGAATCCAAAATTGATGGCTTAGGATAATATTTATAGTAGGCCAGACCCGGGCGGCATCTTCCACGATTCATAACCCCGCCTGTTGCCGGTTTGTTGTTACCTCATGCTAGGTTTCGCAGTGTTCTCCCATTTTTCTTCTGTTGTGCTCTCTTTTCTCTTTTCTCTTTTCTGTAGCTTTCTGTCCTGCAGGTGATGACGCCACAGAACAGTAGAGCCACCTTGACCACCCCTCCTTGCGAAGCAAGTCATCCTTACGCCCTTGGAAGAACCAGGGTATGGTATCCATGCCATTATATTGATTGGAGAAGGGTTTCGCCGCATGCGGCTATCACACATTTTCGAAATGGAAGTATGATAGATCTTGGAAGTTGCTCGGATATTTGCAGAATACGTTGCTTCGGAACTTGATCCTTTTTAACGATCCATATATCCACCCACATTTCTCATGCGTACTTCGTCATACATTAATAGTCAGGCAGGGGTCGCGAGAAGGCAGAACGGACGGAGGCAGAGCATAGGTACACTCTTCCGCAATTTTAATCAGGGATTTTACAAAGACAAGAAACAAACAAAGCAGAAAACAAAAAGGGTGGTTCATGCTTGCGTATTGCAATCCATACCATTACGCATTTATGCAGATATCATATCATGTTCATGGCTAAAGCAATGTAATTTACAACTTATACCCCAGTTTTTTAACATTCCCCAGCTTTGCTGGTATGATATATACGTTTTGTTCAGCCGCTGACTGCCAGAGCGCAACTACCTCATCAGATTCATCCTCGGTTATCCAAAGTTCCCCAGATCCTTCCAACAATCCAGAAATCAACTACACATTCAGAAAAAGCCAGCATTCTCGGCCAGAAAATTACACTCAAACATAGAAAGTAAGAGAAAAGAATATCAATTGTAACAAAAATGTGAGTTAGCCAAGAAAGACTCGATCGCGCAGTGCAGGTTAACTGATACGAATGTCTTAAGTGAGAATTCAGGGGTGTCCGTTCTTGTCTATTCAAAAGGTGATCTAACCAAGGTACCAACCTACCCACCTAGGTGTAGACAAGTATTGGTTGGAAAAACTGATGTAAGTATATGAGATGCTCCGAAACAGAAGTGTTAAGGAGTTTGGGAAACCGCGGCAGGGCAGCACCAAGATATGACTTCCTTTGAACGGTGATGTGCGAGGATACCTCCACACCACCTCTCCGCAAACACCAACACCCTATGAACTTCTACGACAAGATATATACAACAAGGAAATATTCCATGATCGCCTACCCTTTAATCTCTAGAAGGCTCTTCACTGTATCAACCACACTCTGCCTCAACGACCGATACTCCAACCCCAACACCTCCCTCGACCTCTTATTATCAAACCCAGAATATCCCTCTGCGGGGAAATCACCAGGTTTCAATGCATTTTCCTCCACCGGCAACTTCTCCCTCAGCTGTGGAAATTCCTCGTAGATGATACCGGCCACCTGGCGATTGCTGAAGTTGCCCGCTGTGACAAAGAAGCGCTGATTGGCAGCTTCCTTCTGTTTTTCAGCAGCGAGTATGTGCGCGAGAGCGACGTCGCGCACGTCGACCCATAGATACGTGCCTGTTGGCGGGCATGAGTGCTTTGCGGCCCCCGTGATCAGGTCGCGAATACGCTCGTTGGAGGTGTTGAGCGTGGCGATGGAGTCCACATGGTGGATGATTGGCCCGAGGACGACAGGGGGGTTTATCTGTTCCGTCTTAGCAGCGGTTCAATTGGGTTTGTACTGTATCTATGGTAGAATGGATATTTAAGTCGTTGTGCATACCGTCGTGATGGTGAAGTTTGGTTTCCCCTTTTCAACAAATTCCCAAGCGGCCCTTTCCTGTAACGTTCATGTCAGCTATTTTGCTTTTTTATTTTTATTTTTATTTTTTCTGATGGTGGGGGTGGGGGTTCTCATAATCATTTAAACAGGGGTTTACCACAAACGTACAGCAAATGTCTTGCTCGCCCGATAACCATAAATTGGGTTGAGAAGTGCTTCTGCCTCTGTGATGGGATTCCAATCTGCCTGTTGCTAATGTTAGATGACGTAGATATTTACCACATCAAGGGCAGCAAACGGCGGATTTGTGCACCTCTGAGTATTTATACGTAGGAGGCTTCTTGGCATCAATGATAGCGGCGAAGGAAGATGTAATAACTACATGCTTGACCGTTGGCGCACTTCGTTTGATGGCACGGAGGATTCCAACAGTGCCATTGATAGCTGTGTGTTATTTTTATTTTTATTTTTTTTTTTTTTGGCAAACAAATAAGTCAGTGGGAATCCGGTTGAACATGTCATTCTGCAATCAAAGAGATACAAACATTATCTCTATACGTACCGGGATCGAGATATTCGGTTTGGTTATTATCAGCTCTGAAGTGGAAGGGACTGGCCGTGTGAATAACAACCTCGAAGGGCGGGTCCGCGATAACAGCCTCGTCAAATGCTATACATATATATATATATATTTATATTTATATCCAATCAACCAATTGTGGGAGCAAGTAGCCATGGGGTGGGCTAAGCAATTGTTCGGCGCGACATAATTACCATCAAGTTTCGCGATGTCCTCCACGATCACGAAGTCTAGTTTGTCCTTCGGCACATCTGGATGAGAGTCTCTGATTTTACGAGCCTTTTCTTCTGAGCGCACGGTAGTCACCACCGAGTGGCCGCGGTGGAGAAGAGCGTCCAGGACATGAGCCGCGATGAAACCGCTTCCACCTGCACGTATAAACACTTTGTTAGTTTGTCTTTCCGCAAATTTGCCGAATTTATGTTTTTGCGGGAGGCGAGTAGGCCGTCTCCTGTACCTGTGAGAAGGATTCGTGTCATTTTGTATAGTTGGGAAGGTTGGTAAGATTATCAGAGAAGAGATTCAGCGATGTGTCGCGGGGTTGGGAAGAAGTAGTTATTAAGGTTCAGTCAATTGGAAGCCCGAGCCTTAACTTGATCTCTTTTCCCCTTTAATTTACGTTTCTCATTTTTACACGCTTCGTGGGCAAAGAAAGGAAATAGAATAGACTTACTTGGAAACGAGGATAACCGGTTTAAATATGAAATTACATATGGATGGTTTACTAGCCAGGACAAATTTCGTCATTCTACAAGAATAAAAATGCTCCAAGGAGATGCACCCCCACACTATACTAGCATTTAAATAACTTGTTCGGCAAGTTGCTGATGAGATCACTGATGTTCGAAACGTGGACATCGGGTGCAAACTAGGTGCCCTCGGATAATCATATACGAATGGACAAAGTGGATCATATCACTAGCACTCGATCTACGTAATTCGAATTTCCCCACCGCCAAATGCCCCGTTCCCTCACCATGAATGTTTGCTGGTAGGAGTCAGTGCTGTTGCACAAAAAAAGAATACAGCACGAAGAATTTCCAAGATGAGGCACATTTGGGTCGCTCCTAGGGACTTCCTGCATTCATGGCTCTGAGATACTGTGAAAGTCGATGCTCTCTAAAAATCAAAACTCCCTGTTTCTGTCCACGGGCAGCTGCAATGATTCCGAGAGTATGTACCATTAACCCACGTTGTATGTGAGAGATTTGAGAAAACGAAAGCGGAAGTCGGCCTTTGGAATCATATGTAAGCCAACAGTCGGTTTAGCCAGTTAGTTACAGATCCAAGCATGCAAAGAAGACAAGGAAAACCTATATTTTAAGGAAAAGACAGTTCGAGAAAGAAAGAAAGAGAGAAAGAGAGAAAGCATTCAACGACAACGTGTTATTTTGCATTAACTTACCGAAATCAGAAATCCATCAGGCCTTTTCGTCTGGCTACTTTTGTTCTATTAAAAAAACCACAAATATCCCTTTATCACCCGCATGACTTTCACTGCGAAAAATTCAAACAAACGACAACAAAGAAAATTTTTACCTAGACCTGACCCTAGATACATGTACCGACGGCACGGAATCGACTGGTTTCTTATTTGGTGTTCTCAAAACGGACAGTGGAAGGGTGGCTTCCGTTCACGACCCCATCTGTCCCGATCCCGTTTGTTTGCCTCTAATACCATCGTCGACTTAGGGCTGGCCCATCAACGAGGTGCATAATGAATGCCGTCCGCCTGTATGCGAGTGTGTTTGACACATCGGCTCAGGGCTGTGAAAGAAACGGACAGATGAAAAATGAAAAATGAGCGGCTGCTTCCAAACCAACACTCGCCCAAATGGAGTTCAGGCTCTAGGCGCACCGGAAGGTCATTACAGGCGTGGAGCGCGCAAAGAGCCCCTTCCAAATGTTGTTACGCTGAATAGCGCAGATTTAATCTGACCAAGGGGACCAGGACAGCGGGTTAGATGTTGGTATGCTCCAAACAGGGGAGGGAGTGGGAAAAGCGAGGAAGGGGGGAGTGGTCCATCCGCCGTCCCGCTCGAATTTTATATCAGTACAGTAATTGCAGGATTATCCATGGAGGAAATGTGTGGGATGGTTAATCTTCTCATTGTTGTGATCGCTAATCACATGCGGTGGAGGGCCACCTGGGCAACTAGTGCCCAACAAAATGGAGGCGGGACTTCTCTTTCATCTTCTTAGCAAACGTGTGTCATGTGATTGCCTGCTATCCCGTGCAGTCGGAATTCCTCGGCAAAAACCTGAAATGAATTTCTGGGAATATTGATTATTTTCGCTTTTAAGAGTACGATAATGGACACATGGTTTGATCAATTCTGATTTTGAATTATTTTCTTTCTTGTTCCCTATTTTATTTTTATTTTTATTTCCCCCATTCCTTTAAAGAGGTTAATTTTTTTTTTTATCAAAAAAAAAAAAAAAAAAAAAAATATTGTTGACTTAAGACTTCAATCTCATTTTTAATTTGTGCGCGTCCCTGCTCTTTCCATCGTAAGACACAAATTGATATATAGGAAGGAGAGGGAGGTGGGGGCCCTTGAGACCCAATATCTACCCACCTGTAAACAATTTCCGTGCAGCTTTTTGTCAGTGATTCAATGAGAGAAAATATTGTATGATGTTGGTTCACTGAAAAAACAAATGGAAACAGGGCGTGGAAAGGACAGCAGCAATCGGACCAAAGCGGAGGATCATGGGTAGTTTGAGTATTTGCGCGTGTGAGATTGTTTTTTCTTTTGTGGCGGATAAATAGAAAATGCCATTTAAGGGGGGGAGGATAACAAGGACGAAGGGAGTTAAGGAAGGAATACGAGAATGGCATGAAGGAAGTCATGGAGAAAAATTGAGGGAGAAAAGTAAGTTTTTAATGGGTACGTGAGATTTTGAAGGATTGGCATTTGTGCGTTTCATCGTTGATAGAATGGAAACAGGTGAGGCGACTTTTAGACGGCACGAAGTAATAAAAACTACGGATTTTAATGAAACTGTGGATTAAGGCGCGCGGAAAGTAAGAGTTCAAGGCGGGGGAACAGGGAAAAGAGAGAATGATAAGGTTAGGTAGGATCAAGAATAATAATCCAGTACATTGCGAGAAACGAGGCGGGAAATGAAGATATTGGAAAGTACCGGGGTAATGAACCGGAGCGGTTTGTGGTGGCGAAGGTCGATAGGTCCAAACAGTCCAATCCGGTAACATTCTGACAGCATCGCTATTGAGCAGGCAAGACTTTTCGGCTGTGGGGGGACGTTGGGGGAGAATGGCTGAAAGGAAACCGGTAATTGTGCGGATTTGTAGATTCGAGGCTTGGGAACATACGCGAGATTGATGACAGCCTATAAATAATCCAAAGTTTGCTTTGGTTGGTAAAGTGAACACAGCACTGCTGCCATGCTCCATTTGAACCTACTACGAACCCGATTCAGACAAAGAGGGTTTGCTTCACTCCTGCGGTTGCTGGCTGCGGCGCATTTTCTCGGCTTCAAGGTTCTCATACAAGAGATAGAGAGCTTTTTCGTTCGCTGCTGCGCTCCCCATGATCGTAAACATACGTTCCCCAGTTTCGTCATGGGGAGCCTTGGCGATAGAAATACGAGCGCCTGAGCTCCTTCGAATCTCGCTGATTTTACTTCCACCGCGACCAATAATGCAACCAACCATGTCGGACGGGATGCTGATATTCTGTGTTTGGACCTCCTCTCCGTCTTCAGTTACAAGTGGGATGCCACGACTGGCTGCATCGGAATTGGAACGTCGGTTATAGCCCCCCGTTTGATCGCTGAAATCGGCACCATTTCCGGTACGGTTGTAGGAACGTCCACCGTAACCGCCTGTAGAAGCCCCAGATCCAAGCGAATTATTGAGTGGGCCGCCGCCTACAGATGCGCGAACAGCGGGGTTGTAGAGGACAGTCCCAGTCCCGCGTTGCCAGTCATCAATAAGACACTTGCCAATTTCCCACACAGCCTTCTCGATCCCTTCTGGGGTACCTTGAACTTCGACGATCCGTTCGGTAGACTGTGGGAGCATCTCCTTCTGTGCGACCATCCTAACGCCAGAAGCGTCCTGGATATACTTGATCTTCAAACCTTGACGGCCAATGATCGTACCCATTTGATTGTGAGAGATGAGTAGGCGAACAGCTAGAGGAAGTAAGTAACTGGACAGAAATAACTATGTTGATAAATGTGAAATTGTGGGATACAGATATGGGCTCGTATCTTATGGGTAAAAGACAGTCACCGAACGCATCATTGAGGAGGCGAAGAGGATGAATAGAGCAAATGTGTAGAGCCACTTACGATGGGTACCGTTATTCGAAGCAACTCCACCCATTCCAAGCTGAGGAGCACCCTCAAGCAAACCCTTGGCGACGATGGCGTACGCTTTGGCAGTACCTTGAAGAGGTCCAGTGACGGTTAAAACTCGATCATGGACACCTTGTACGACCTTGCTCACGCCAGCTTTCACACCAGTCTCGTCACGTAGGTCTGCCACATTCTTCCCAGCTTTGCCAATAATTACACCAGCCTCTTTGGAGGAAACAATGGCGCGAAGGGTCAGCGTGGACTGGGCATATTCCTCATCAGTCTTCGGTGGACCTTCAGGTTCGCCCTGCTCAGTGCGACTGTAGTCTGTCATGACTTCATCGGTCACGGCCGGTGCGGCGTCACGAGATTCGTTGCTTGCCATTTTGAAATGTTAAAGAGAAGCTAAGATGGAATTGGAACGTAGAGAGAAATAATTGGTAGTGGTGTGGACGGATATTTTCGGTGCAAATAAATCCTTTTGTTTTTTTCTGTTTTAATGCTGGAAAGCGATTAACTTTTGTTCAAGGTCGTTGAGGCAGAACTGGCTTTCTATTCATGAGAGTAAAACGAAATTAGTGAGGTCATGGAAGCGATTGGAAGCGATATTGATTTGGAAAGGGAGTTGTCAAAGAAATGCAAGGTGGTGAATGCGAAGCACGTACTAAAGCAGATAAGCGGAACAATTCCAGGTCGCACGCTAAGGGAACAAGCGCGTGGAGCCTCAAGTGTAGGCTAAGGAAGTGGAATAAAACACGAAGCGACTTCAACAACTTATAGGGTTCGATAAATGGTTGGGGGGTGGAGGGTGGATAGATGAGAAAAAAAGC